AAAGTAGGGAATACTCTATCAAGGGTTTCGAAAGACGAATACAATTTTAAAAGTACCGTAAGGTAGTTTTCATTCTATAAGCATAACATTTTCGCTAAAATCTACATTTTTCTATTTCAACAGCTTAGAATTTTATAAAACAAATTCATAATCAAAATCGCTGTTGTTAGTTATCGAAAAATAACCAAGATGTGATTTTTGTCACTAAACTATACAAATTGCTATTATCTATCACACACTGAATGTTTCTTTTATGCTGAAATGTCCTGCTTTTCGATTTGTATAGAACTGTCGCGTGTCTAAATATTATCGAAGCGCTGGGAAGGGAGCTTCTGAATGTAGACAAAGAACACCCCATCTGGAGACCGAAGCTTCGGAGCAGTGCTTAACTCGTACTGCCGGGCTACAAGAATGAAATTTTTTCCATTCTTGGCAAACAAGAGGGGCCCGAGATCTTCACTTGACCCCGGGAGCTGAAAATCCTAGCCAAAGAATATGTATTAGATATAAAGAATATGTATAATATTAGAATATGTATTAAATGTTATATTAATATGAATATGTGCAAAAAAATATAAAGAATATGTATTAAACGTTTATATTCATATGTATAAAGAATATGTATAAACGTTATATAATATGTAATAAACGTAAATAAATAAATCTGTATTAAACGTTATATTAATAGTTAAAAATATGTATAAACGTTATATAATATGTATAAGGTAATATTAAACGTTATATTAATATGTATATGTATGTAAAAGTTATATAATATGAATGTATAAAGAATATGTATTAAACGTTTATATTTATATGTATAAAGAATATTTATTAAATGTTAATATTAAAAATTTTCTTACATGAAATTATCTATGTGCATTTAGTTACGTTATTTTTAAACGCGAATATCGTTTTAAATTTCTTTAAACTTTTGAGGAAAAGAAAATATTTTTTCGCGCAAGTAAATTAATTAATAGAATATTTATTTTGAGCAAAAACATAGTACGAAAATCCGAGTTTAAACTATCGCGAGAAGTCGAAGAAGAAACGTTTCTTCTTAAGTGTTCCGCAATTTCCTGTACAGGTAGCCCTTCTACAACATGGCATCCTGTAACACGGCTTCGCTATAACACGATTCATAAATTGCGAGAACCCTTCTAAAACAGGGTTTCGCTCTAACACGATAAGAAAATTGCCCAAGCAATCCGAAGAACTTTAACGAAACTCCGCACGAAGTTTTTTCATATTGTTCAAAGCACCCATATAGTCATTTAACACATAAAAATCCTTATTTCGTAAGTTCTGCCATTTGTCTTCCAAGATCCGGTAGCCGTAAGAACAAACGTCCTCAGATGACCCGTATGATCAAATGTCCCCAGATAACAGAGAAGAAACCTCACTATCGCAGAAGGTGAACAACATGAGGTCACAATAAGTGCTCTAAAACGCACAATCTGTCCGTTCGGCTTCCAAAATTCGAATCCTCGTCTTCATGGCCTGAAAATAAAAGTGTCTCACGCTGCTGGTCGGCAGTCTGCGTCGAGCCACGGTGTGTTAAAGAATAACTTTTCCGTCTTTAAGACATTAAGTTTCAGTCCCCAAACATGTTCGATAAAGGTAAAAAACAGCGTTTAACAGGAAATTCATTTCTTTAGAAGTACAGATACAGATCTTGGACCGTCTTTTAAAAGACGAACAGTCATCTCATATTGGAAAAAGTTTTACTTGGAATGAAGAAACAGTCCAGACTATTAAGAAAAATGAAAAAGAGGAAGTGCAATTGTTGCAGGATCTTCGACATCCGCAAAACGTGCAGCTCGACCCCGGGGGCGCCAATAATTGAGAAAATGGAAAAGACACTCAGCATTTGAATTGATGATAGCTGTTCAAAAAAATTTCGTTGGATGGTAATATCATTGAGCAAAAAGCACTCAAAATTTTCAAGCACCTCAAAGAACATGGAGAACCCTCTATCAACCCAGACTTCCTGGTAATTAAAGGTTGGTTCGAAAATTTCAAAAAGCGTTTTGCAATTTATAGCATAAGAATTCAAGGAGAATCTGCCTCAGCTGATAATGAAGCTTCTAGGAAGTTTCCTGAAAAATTTCAAAATATTATAGAAGAACAAGGATACACAGCAGTTCAAGTTCCGATGCTGACAAAACTAGGCTTTGGTGGAACAAAAATGCCCAATAGAACCTTTATATCAAAAAAAGAAAAAACTGCATCCTGATTTCAGGTATGCAAAAATTGACTAACGCTATTTTTGTGCAGTATGACTTCGGACTTTGTGACAAAGCCCTTGTTAGTTTATAGATCTTTAAATCCTCGTGCACTTAAAGGCATAAATAAAAACACCTTACAGGTATATTGGATATCCAAAGCTTGGGTAGCTGGAAATATATTTAAAGATTGGTTTTTAAACTGTTTTGTGCCAGACGCTGAACGTTTTTTAAGGCAGAAACATTTGAGCTTCAAAGCGCTTATTACTATTAGATAACGCTTCATGTCATGCACAAGATTTGAATCATCCCCAATGTCAAAATACTGTTCTTACCACCTAACACTTCTTCGTTACTCCAACCATTGAATCAAAGTATTATTTATACCTTTAAAACATATTACATAAGAAGAGCATTACAATAGACTTTAGAAGTAACCTATTCAAAACCGATTAATGTAAAGGAAGCTTGGAAGACATTTTCAATCAAGAACTGAATCGACATCGTATCTTTGTCGCTGAAAGAACTGAAAGCATCAACGTTAAATGTATGTTAGAAGAAGATATGGCCTCTTCAGTTGAAATAGAAAAACGTGCGTGAATCGTCAGAAAATGAAACTGATGGCATATTTAGAACGTGCTAAATCAATCGGAGGCAAAGGTTTTGTGAACATGGCTATTGAATACGTTCAAGATTTATTATCGGAATAAGAAATTGACGAAGATTTGTTAGAAATGGCACCGAAGCTGTAAATGAAATCGATTCTGAGGCCACTACCCCTGATGAAGACTGTGAAGTTAATAATTTAACATTAAAAAAATTACAAGAAGGCTTACGCTTAGCTGAAAATCTCGAGTTATTTATTTATTTTTTTTTTGAGTGTAGACCCTTTCGCTGACATAAGCCGAAAATTCAAAAGGGAGCTGCAAAACTGTCGGCCAACCAGCGGCCGAGCGGTCAAGTCGCTGAACACTGGTAGTTCGGTCCGAAGTTCGAATTCCGCGAACGGGCTGGCTACATGGGCGTTTTCGTGGTTTTTCCCATGTGAACGTGTATACGAGCCAGTTTCCCTTAGAAAGTCCTCCACGAAGGCATCCCTCCCTTTAGGCAGATAGCCTTCGAGGCTTTGCCATAATCACATACAAACTCTGCAAAACTGTCTAGCTCTATAAAAAGAAATTTAAAATGTCCCGGTAAAAACTAGTAAGCAAAGTAAAATTACAAATTTTTTAAAGAGGGAAGAAAATGCCAGAACTTTAAATGAAGAAAGAAAATTCTGAAAGTGAAAGCGATCTCATTCCACCGAAAAAACGTTCTCTGTTGATTATACTGAGCAATAACAAAGAAGAAATTTATTGAAGTTAAGTTCCGTTAAATTAAAATACGTAATTTTTGTTTTGTTTTGTGTTGTATATACATATATATTTTGAATAAAAATTAAGTTGTTTATGTATAATTCAAAAAAATATTTGTTTTTAGTAAGTTTTCGGAACGTAACCCCGCTTTTTATACTGCCTCTGGGTCTCATACAACACGGTTTCGCACAACACGGCATTTTCCAGGAACCTATCTACCGTGTTATGCGAGGGTTACGTGTATACATCTCGGAGGGAGAAATTGTCGTCGCCAGGTTCCGTCGCCAACTCCCTTGGCGAATTTTTCCCTCTGCGTTCTAGCGGCGCAGTAGACAAACTGGTTTACATTACGTCTATGGGACATTTCCTTATTAATATAAACGTTCTTTGTCCTAGCTGCAGCTATGTTGGTAATATAAATAAAAGTGAATTGATTGTCAATTCATTATGTCTTTTTGTTCTTAGCTTTTAAATTACGCTTTTATTATTATATATTATAAATTATTACTGGTTTCATCCATATCAGTATACAGTAAACAGTACTTACCTGAAAATTTAAGCAGTGACGAGATGTTCTGCTAACAGAAGGAATAGAACAAAAAAATCTCGGGAAAATCCTCAAGATAAAAAACAACGCTGTACATAAACTCTTTAGCTTTCTCTCGATAACACTGCATACGGTAAAATGTGTATGCATTCATCACAGAGTGTAGTTCCACGACTTCTTACTGTTCACACTAAGTAGAAACACGCTATAAGCTATCAATATTTTTAATAAAAAATAAATAACTAAAATAGCAAGCTATTATAGCATAAAAATAATTTATTTAGAAAAGATTATTGAAATGTTTAACAATGAATCGGGGCGCACGGTCAGCGCGTAGGAATGCTTCCCATTAATGTGAGCAAAATTAAGAAAGATCAGGGTGGGGGACATTGAGAATTTTCTTCTGGTCATACTAAATGTTCGCTGTGCGTGTATGTGACATCCGTACGACACTCACATCAGCATCATAATGTGACATCTCTATGACGTTGTATTGTGGTCACAAATGTAATGTGACGAAAATGTAGTATTGAAACGTCACTGTAACTAAGTGTGCTGTGTGGGGGCAAACAGAATTTGACGAAAAGAAACCCTAATCATATTAATAACAACAACAAAAGAGCTAAATCATATTAATTATGTGCTTCTTTTTTAATCTGTTCTTTGGAGAAAAATTTGGACCTGAACTAAAATGCGTGTTAAGTTGTTACAGAGCTCCTAATGCATATGCTAATTTATCTGTTTAACATCATCCATCACTCACGTTTTGCTGTTTGTAGCATTTCATTTACACAAGGATGAATAATTTCTGTGTAAAACACATATGAAATGATGCTGCTGAATGGAAAAAAAATTAAATCATGCTGTAACAGATTAAATTTAACTAAGTTTTTTATTAAGAGAAAAAAACTTATAAACAGAGACACAAGAGTAGTCTTTTACAGAACAAAATGAGCTGATAGGTATGAGTTCATACAAAAATCATTTTAAATATCATTCATTTAAATATATGATAAATTAATTATTAACATTTGTGATCTTAACACTTCAATAAGAAACAAGTTGAAATGCTTTAACAAGCTGACTGTACTAAAATTATATTAGCATCGGTTATGTCAAAATTAAGTTAAAGCAAAACATGAACGAAATAAATTCCGCTCTCTTCCTTTCTCAGTTGATTTACATAAATTCTCGAAGCTGGAGCAAATAGAAGTTTATAATATTCTTAGTAATCAGATCTTTTATCAAAGCTGTTTCTTCTTCAATGTGGATACAGATTTTAACAATATTCGCTACATTGACGTTTTCAACGCATTTTGAAGCTACAACCTAGACTATAATTCATATAGACCAAACTGCTACAGCATTATAAATATTTTCACAATAATAAACTCTACCTTTAAAATGGATAAATGAATAGCATTATCATCTCCGATAGTAACCATAGTCGAGTAAACAGTTTTCAAGATGATTTTTCATGAAATTCGGAGCTGATTTATTGGCTGTTTGAGAAAATTCTTCCTCGTGATTAATTTAAATGCCTCTATGTTATATCAAATTATGATGTATGATTCTTTACTTTTATCAATCAAAATTGTACAGCATGAAATATTGTATACGAACAGTATGATTTGGGCGATGACTTTTTGTTATAAAGAAGTTCAAATATTCGCGTTCAGTTTCATACGCTTGTGTAATCCAATCCTTTGGCACAAAGAAACATATAAATAAGAAACAAATGTTTCTTTCCGAGGATTTCATTATTTCTGTTGTTCAATTACACTCTTCTTTGCGCAGTCAAAATAAGTTTGAGATGCAGGAAGGGAAACAAACGATATCCTAAACCGAAAATAAAGTCAAGATTTTTGTATGTACAAATGCCGATATGAAACAATATTTTTTCTTGTATTAAATGTAACTGAAATTGTTTGATAAACTAGGCAATTTTTGAAAAAAAATCAGTCAAGTCACATGTAAAACAAATTAAGCTGTGTCTTTGACACAGCGTGGAATCTCTCCAACCCACGAACCTTCTTTACAATATAATGCATGTGCCATCTTATTTCCGAGCGTAAAACCACCGAAACATCTATATTTCACAACCATATAGCTGTTGAATGGATACAACTTATTTTTTTTCGTCTCATACCGATAAACAAAAGCATTGCGTACTTGTGGTGCAATCATAGGCACTTCTCTTCCATACAGAGCATCCACACATGAAGCATCATACTTTTCAAAAGCTGCCGTTTCGCTTTGGTGCTGTTGTACACGCTCAATCGGTCTCCGACGCAATTCCTCAATATCGTGGTATTTTGCAGAATTGAACTGGTATATAGTGTGATATGGAGAAATGCCACTTGTGTCAACTCTTGATCTTCGTGATGTAATGAAAGGGTCAGATGTTGGATGAGGTGCACGCCATTTCTTCCCCTTTCCATGATGTTTTCCCTTCGGTTTATTGCGATGACGATATTTGTGCCTCATCTGAGCTTTACTGGTTTCATTTCCAGGTTTTGCAAAAGCTATAGACAAAGCATCTCCGTCTTCTGTACTTCCAAGAGATACGATAGTTTCTCTAGGCACAGATTCGTCAATAACGGTTACGTTTTTCCTTCTATGTCTATTCTTCTTATGGCCTTGACGTTTTTTTCCTAACAGAGATGAATTAAAGAATAAAGTAATTTGTTAACTATTGGAATTAATTAATCTGTTAAATATAATAATCTTAAATATTTAATATTAGAATAAGTTAATATATAAGCATCTTTAATTAATCTGTTAAATGATAGAATTACGAAACATTAGCAAGAGTACAAACTTAATAACAAAATTCTCATGCAGATATCTTATTTTGAATGACTGTTGAAATAAAAAATATTACATAAGTTTAAAAAGCACACAATATATACTAAGGAGTAAAGACATTAACCAGTTAAAAGGTTTTTTTTTCATTCTTAGTTAAAAACTAATTCTAACTTAGCACACTGACGACATTAAGATTACATTTTAAAAAAAAAATTATAAGTGTATATTTTAAATTTAATTTTCAAAAAGTGCACACCTGCGGTTTTCAATAAAATTAAATACAGTACAGTAAAATATGAAACTGCTTAAGAGCTTAGAATGATATTAACTTATACGTATAAACATATGCCTGAAACCCTCCCTCCAAATAAGACCCCACCAGTGGTCAAATGGTTAAGACAGCTAAACACTGGTAATTCGACCCAAGTTCAAACCGAAGCGAACAGACTCACTGTACGGTTGTTTTTCGTGGTTTCTCCAATGCGAAACGTGAATACTAGCCAGGTTTCCTTAGAAGATCAGTTTAAGTAATTTGGATATGGCAAAAACATACAACGGCTATTTGCCTAAAGGAAAGGATGGATGGCTTCATGGGAAACTTCCTAAGGGAAATGATTCTTAGACAGATTGTACATTGGGAAAACCATGAAAAATACTCTTGCAACAAGCCCGTTTACCTGAGTTCGAAGCCGGATCGAATTACGAGTATTTAGCCATCTTAACATCTCGATCACTGATGAGATTGTAACGTACTTTATGTTAATTAACCAGTTATTATGCTTTTGATTTTTACCATGACTTCTTCCTTCCGCATTCCTCACCAGAATGCAAATTAGCTTTGAGAACGTATAAGTTGGGGTTTTGAAACTTACAGAGAGTTCTGACACTCGCGCAGGCTATTAGAATTTCGCCTACATTGTCTAAAAGCGGTTATCTCAATTTTGCGTTTTCTCGCAGCCAATACTCAAAAACGCAGGTAAAATATTGAACTACCTCTTAGCTTAGATATGTGACTATGTAATGTATCAAAGTTTAAATTTATTTTACTTTTTCATTTAATTTACATCGCTACGAGTAGTGGTTACTGTCTGTAGTACGAGCTCTGCATTTTATGCTAAAAGTTCAGGATTAAATAAAAAGGTTATTTAAAACTTTCGTAAGTCTTTATAATACTATTTCAGACATAGCGATAACTCGCTAGTACCCTGCCTAGTAGGGTTGCAGGACTTAAATTCAGTTTCTAGATCGTCTGCAAGCTTAAGTGTTTTGTGTTAAGTTGCAGTCTGCATGAAATAAGACTCTTATAGCTGTCATGGAGGTTGCAATCAGTATGAGATAATACTGTCTGGCATGCATCCAATTAATTGGCATTCATCCAATTTGGCATTCATCCAATTTGGCATTCATCCAGTTAAGCATATCGAGCACTGAACATAAATTAACTATCACTTATTACTAACCGGGGCTTGAATTTCGGTAGGTATATGGAAGAGGACAAAAAATAGTAACATCTCACGTTTCCACACATACCTTTTTTGAATAAGATCGACAGACCATATAATTTGTTAGACTTCTAGGATTTACGTGACAAATTTTACTTTGTGAGTGTGGACACTTTAAGATGCTGTGTCAAAAACGAACCCGAACGCTTATCCAAGTCGGCCTCTGTCTCATTAAAACAAAAATCTTCATAAGGACGCCCCAGCATAAAGGTGCTTACATTCTTATGCAGATTGGTTAACTTTAAAAAAAAATTAAAAGAAATTAAAAATATATTCTGTTTTATGCCGAGACACCGCTACGCAAATAGAATTTTCATTTGCTTTGCTAATTAGGGTAGCAAACTAAAATCCTATTTTCATGGCGGTGCCTCAACATAAAAATGGCTGCACCTTTATGAAATTTGCTTTTTATAAGTTAGAAACTCGTATTCACAAAGGAGCGACACTTTTACGCCTGGACACCCTTATAAAGATTTCTGTACATTCGAACGGTGGCGAACTTGCGTAAAGATGATGGCACCACTTTGATGGAGCACCGTTATGAAGTGATACCCCGCGAATGTACCGGGTGGCCATAATTAAACTGACAGTGCTCACAGTGTTCTGTAGCGTGATCTATTTGCGAGAATGACGCCTTATTTTGTAGGAAGATTAAACAAGACGGGGGACGAAGGATTCCGCGAAAAAACAAATTAGTTCCAAAAGTCACCACTAGGGGAATATTTGGCGCTGTGTAATAGAAAATAGAGTGTTAACAAATACAAATCAATACACAAAATTACCTTTCATTTTGCATTCAAATGAGGTTCAATGTGGCTGCCGTTGTTGTGGACCACATATTGCATTCTGTGCACAGTATGCACAACAGCAGAAAGTAACATGTCTGCAGGAATCTCCCGTACAGTCCGTGATATGTTATCCTTCAACGTAGCCAGGGTCCTGGACCACTCCTTGATAGACCTTGATAGACTTAAGGTCAACCCCATAGCCAGAAGTCGCATGGGGTAAGATCAGGCGACCGAGGTGGCCATGCAGTTGGAAAGTAGCGGCTAATGATCTCTTTCTGTTGTTGAATTTCTGTCGTATCATCTGTTGCACCCGTACAGCAACGTGTGGAGGGGCTCCATCTTTGCATGAAAAATGATTTCCTCCCAGGCATTGTCTTTGCTGAAGTGCCGGAATGACAAAGCTGTTCAACATGTGGCGATATTTCTCTCCGGTAACAGAACAGGTTTCGGTCCTGTCGGGGTAATGTTCTCATAGAAGAATAGACCTACGATAAATTCCGCTGTGAACCCACACCAAACAGTTACCTTTGGTGAATGTAAGGGAATTGCTGTGACTGCATGTGATGATTTGTCATCCCAAATTCGGCAGTTATGGGTATTCACAGTTCCATTCAGGTAAAAGTGGGCCATGTCTCCCCATAAGATTTTCCACGGCCAAGCATCATCCACCTCCATTCTGGCCAGAAAGGTGAGAGCAAAAGTCAATCGCTTATCATGGTCGGGCTACAGTAACTCCTGTACACGGCTGATCTTGTACGGATAGAAGTTGATAATCATTCGTAAGATTTTCCATACCGTACTGTAAGGCATATCCATATTCCGAGCTACTCCACGAGCGCTAGAGGTGGCAGCAATATTGTCTGGTCCTCTGTCGACAATCGCCGTGGCAACTGCTTCGATTGTATCCTGTGGTACAGGTTTTCGTCCTCTGCCTGACTGAACCTTCAGAGAACCTGTTTTCTCAAACGTCGCAACCATTGCTTTTAGTCCCATTAACTGACACAGAACCATTACCTTTATGCATTTTTTTTTTTTTTTTTTTTTTTTTTTTTTTGTGCGTTCTAAAAGCACGAAGAGCGGCTGACGCATTGCACTGGTTGAGGTAAAAATTTAAAGAATTTGACCAGTAACGCACGCTCGACTAAAGAAGGAGACATTGTACATAAACTTTCAATCCGATTGATTCGAAACGTAACACACTGCCTTTTAAAACCCAAGCAGCTCGCACTGTGCGAATGGATGCAACGTGAAATTTGAATAAAGAACTTCTTCTGCTCAGCGTACGTGATATTAAATTGCAGATCACGAGACTTTATCGGTGTTTATGTAGATTTTACGCTTTTTTAAAAGTGTTGCCATATTGCACTTGAACTAAATCAGAAAATGTGCATAATAAAAGGTAATTTTATTCCGTATTAATTTGCATTTGTTAACACTCTATTTTCTATTACACAGCGCCAAATATTCCCCTAGCGGTGACTTTTGGAACTAATTTGTTTTTTCGCAGATTCCTTCGTCCCCCGTCTTATTTAATCTTCCCACAAAATGTGGTGTCATTCTCGAAAATAGATCGCGCTACAGAACACTGTGAGCACTGTCAGTTTAGTTATGGCCACCCGGTATATGTAATACATATGTGTAAAGCTTTTAAGGCAAAACCTACCTTCATGTTTTTTTTTAAATCCAACAGCAGGCCGTCAGCCGACTTAGGCTTGGCCATTACTAAGGCCAGGAGAACTCTTTTGCCTTAGGAATGGTGAACATCAAATATTTGTGAAAAATGCTTAAAAAACACCTTAGTGATTTTAAACACTGTTTAATTATCTTAAAAATTGGTATCTTATATCTGTTAACGAATTTTTCAAATGTTCATGAAATTATAAATAACTCTGTATTCCCATGTCATTAAACACTGATGAATACTGCATTTAGAATTTTTTAGAAAGAGTAATTTAAGATTAATTGGGAATTTATTCATACTACTGAAAGCTGTAATTTCCATACGCAACCCCCCCAAGAGACCCACATGTATTAAAAATGTATAAATATATAATCGTTAAGATATATAGCAACTAAATCAGCTGTTGCATGAAAGATGGGATGTATATGCAATATAAAAGACAGAAAAATGACAGAACAGACTTTTCTTTCATGTTCGAAAACTGAAAGCAACGAAAGTTAATCAAATTTATAATGTGTGTCCTTACACTTTATTATTTCTCCTTTTCCGTTTTCCTGACATAATGCAAATTTTAGTTCGCGCTATCCAAATAAGGTAGAAAGTTGAAAAAGTATTTAAAAGATGGTTTTAGTCTGCTGAATCAGAACATGTTCCGCCACGTTGAAGGCCACGTTACTAGTTGAAACTCTTCAATAGGTGTCTGTCTGCGGCGTTGCATTATTCTTGCTATTAGTGCTTGTCATAACAGCGTAGGTTATACCAACTTACACGTTATTCATTCTGTGTAGCATTTGGTTAATATACAACTTAACTTGGTTTTAATTTGAATTTATTACTTTTGAGGTGTTACATAATTGCTGGCTGGTTTTGTAAGG